TGGAAAGAAGATCTCTGGACAAGTCCAAAACTGGTCTTCTTAAGTCCAGGGTGGACTGTTACAATTCATCTTTCTTAATTCTCTCAGATTGTTCAACTCCATCATTCACACTGTAGTCAAAGCTGCCATTCACTTTCACTTCTTCAGCCAGTCCTGTCTTGTCTTTTTGTTGAAAACTAATCCAGTAGAGCATCTCCCCTAGTCAGGTCAGGGATTATCTTCGTCCTTCCCCTCAGCTGTACCCTTCTAGCAGAGGTCCATGGTCTCTAAAGTCGCCAGTGGGTACTAGAGCCTTAAATTATGTTACTTCCACTTGCTGTCTAAAGACTTCATCCTCTTCCTAACCTTCATCAGATGGTCTACAAAAGATGTCCTCTGTCAGGTCACTCACATGGGTCTGCGCTCTGATCCTTACCTCTTGATTGAATCAGCACCTGCTCCAGGGCAAAGTGTTGTGCACTTGAGCCACTCCTTTGCACAAAGCACAACTCCAACTCCTCCCTTTCCCTGCCTCTTATTCTTGGAGACCCAGCAATTCCAGGGCTGTGCTCATGATTGAGGATGAGGCACACAAGGAAGGGGAAAGGTGGAGGGGTGGAAGAAGAGAGAGATCTGGGAAGGAAAGTCTGTCTGTGGACGCCAAGCCTGTGTCCCCACTGCAGACCATTAACCCCAGCTGAGGGGGGGGATACTGAACCTTTGCGTGGTGGTTGCCTTTGGGTTACAGTGGTGCCTATGGTTTTGGGTGTGGTAACACCACAGCCAGTCTGGACTCTTGTGCTCCCTAAGGGGGATTGTGGGATAGAATAGACAGCTTGGTTCCCAGAGAAGGGGGGGCTAAACTCTCCTGATGCTTTGAGAGGAGAAAGGAGGACTGGACTCCTCTCTTCTGAAGCGTATTAGAAATAGGAGGCTCTGCTCTCCCAAAAGGCATCACAGACATTCTGGGTAAGTCCTTCAGATGTGGCTGTCCATGTTGCTGCTCCTAGCACTTCAGGAAGAAATCCCTCCCTCAAGAAGCAAGGTCAAACCCCACCTGAATTGCAGTGCCCTTCTTAATGGGCAACAGATTTCCCTGCCATCCTACTGCAGCCTGGCTGCATCACCCTGGACCTCAATGAGTACCATGGACTGGCTGGGCAGGATGGGCATTCTCCAGGGCAGGGCAGGGTAGTGTTGTTCTGAGCAATCCCCACAAGCACTATGATCAACATGGCCCCAGTCATGGCCACCAAGCAGGCCATCCAGGAGGGCAGAGAATGGAGAGCAAAGGGCTTTCTTTGGTTATTCTTTGGTTACATTACTCCAATAATGTTGGAAATCTATAAGGGGATCTCTTCTCTAGAATGGTGGGAAGGGATTCCCCTGTTATGGGGAATCTTTGGCCAGATGATCCCCAACACCTTCCGTCTCTCTTCTTGGAAGTGGAGCTTGGGCTTTCTCCTCCTCTCTTTGTGAATTTTACCTGGAAACGAACTCAGTACTGTTGAAGCCTCCACAGAGTGCCCTTCTTGCTCAGTGAACAGCCAAGGCTGAGCTTGTAACCCTCTAAATCTCTAATGACAACCTGGAAAAAGGAGTTAACATCTGAGAGGAACAGACCTTGAGCCCACCTAAGCCCTTGGCTCTGGAGAAGAGCTGGGTAGAGGCTTCCCAGCAAGGAAGGAGAGGTGAGGAGGAAAGCTGTCTCAGCCAAAGGCTGAAGGCAGTGTGAGACATGGAGTTGCCCCACTCTTTCCACACCAAGGTGAAGGTATACCAGCAGAGCTGAAGTGGGAGCCAGAGAAGCACAGCTGGGGATGGGGGAAGGAAGGGCATGAATGAGGGAGAGTCACAATTTTGTTTTAAATGCTGACCCAGGAGCCTTCTTCACCTGATATTTATTCCACAGGTTCCCTGGACACATCGGTGACAGAACAGGGTGTTGTGAAGGCACTGCATCTGGTTTGTGTTATTATGAGCCTCGGACTGTGCTGCATAACTGACAGGCTGGCTTTGGAGTCCCTGCCTGCAGGTGCTAGTGCTGTAGGGCAAACCTTCCAATGCTCCCACGTCTCCCTCCTCCCTCCATTGTCACCTGCTGCTGTTAAACCCCAGCAGATCCCTTCCTAAGTCCCTTGCTCTATGTGCCAGCCACATACCCAGTTCTGGAAGACCTGAGGGCATCTCAGATGATGAGAAGTAACTGCATGGGGGTGGGCAGCTGTGCTGAAATGGGCCTCTCCATTGAACGTAGCAGTGACCAGGGTCACTGGCTGGCATGCAGACTTCTACAACGGATGGAGATCATGTTTCATCAGCAATCCCTTTATTCCATTCACAGAAAGAAAACCGAGAACATTTCCACTGTACATAAAGAAGGAATCACCAACTGGCTTTAAAGAAAGAAGCAGGTGGCTAACTTTAAAGAAAGAAGCGTAGTTTACCCAAATATCTCCTACACCCTTCTGAAAGGAAATCTCTTCCCCCTGGCCCTTCCAATCCCACAAGCATACTCAATATTGCATGCTCCTAAAGCAATGTCTGGGGCATTGGATACCACATGCCTGTCAAAGTCCTACCTACTTACACAAACCAAAAGAACAAATGATGCATTCCTGCAGATGAAACATTACTGTGCACCCTAGGTGCTGGCCATGGCTTTTCTGAGTGCTTTCCTCAGGGCCTCGCTGACCTCCTTGTTTCTCAGGATATAGATGAACGGATTGACCAGGGGCATCAGAATGGTGTAGAAAAAGGAGAACACTTTGTTGAGCTGCCTCAGCGGAGCTGTTCTGGGCAGCAGGTAGGCAATGAGAAGGGTGACGTAGAAAATAGTGACAACAATGAGGTGAGAGGAGCAGGTGGAGAAGGTCTTCTGCCTGCCTATGTTGGATGAGATCCTCAGGATGGCAGCTGTGATGCACACATAGGAGACCAGCGTGAACAAGAAGGGGAAGAGAATGCTCAGGAAAGACATGATGAAAGATACAAGTGTGACCACACTGGTGTCACTGCAGGAAAGCTCCAGCAGAGGGGTAAAGTCACAGAAGAAGTGGTCGATTGTCTTACGGCCACAGAAATTAATCTGGGATAAAAAGGCTGTGACTGTTGCAGACACCAGCATACCCACTAGCCAAGATACAGCCACCAGCTGTAGACAGATTTTCCAGGTCATGAGGCTTGCATAGAGCAGGGGCTGGCATATAGCCAAGTACCGGTCATAAGACATGGCCTCCAGCAGGTAACACTCAGTAGCTACAAAAGAGCTGAAGAAGTAGAACTGAGCCATACAGCCGTGAGCAGAGATAGTCCTGTCCCCAGTTAGGAAGCTAGCAAGCAGCTGGGGCAGGATGGTGGAGCTGTACCAGGTCTCCAAAAAGGACAGAGTGCCCAGGAAAGTGTACATGGGGGTGTGCAGATGCTGCTCTGACACCACCAGCACAACTATGAGGATATTCCCAATCACAATCACTGAATAAATGATGAGTGATAGGAGGAAGAGAGGAATCTGCAGTGTGGGCGTATTCCCCATTCCCAGCAGCAGGAACTCCATGGGTGATGTCTGATTGTCCTCTTCACGTGTTTTCATACAGCTTTGTTTATCTTTCTTTTCCCACTTGCCAGGAAGGAGGCCTGTGAGAAAACACATGTAGTTCAGCATTAAGTTGAAGAAAAGCCATAAGGGACATTGCTGCTAAAAAACCAAACCGAAATGTCATATATTTTGCCTTTGTTCATAGTTCATTTTTGCCTCCCTCCACATCAGAAGAAGAGAACCAGGACAAGAGGGCAAACCTGCTTGTCCCAAGAGCACTCCCTCTGACCACAGGAGTGACTTGCCCCATGGAACTGCCTGTTCCTCACACTGGAATAAAAACATCATACGCATTTGCTCACATTTTGACCTGCGTTCTTGTGCTCAGTAGTTTCCCCAACATAATCAGAATAAGCTGCTGAGAACTGAGATCCTTTGCTCTCTGGCAAGGAAACAGTGTCTCAAGGAAAACCAGTGCCATGATTTGAAACACATTGTTTCTGTAAAAATATTAAGGCAAATATGCTTTCTTCAACTAGGAGACAGCTGAGAACAGCACTGGGTGAGTGGTCTCAGCTGTCTGAAACACTGCCCTTCAGAGGAGATTATTCCTGCTCTGAGCAGGCCAATTTCTTGTGTTGACAAAGAGCATGTCAAGAGTTTCCAGCCCAGATGAAGAAGGGGCTTTTCAATGAGCTAATGACAGAGGACACTTGAACCAACATTGTGTGTGAAACAATAGAAGAGAAGGTGAGAAAGAAGGAAAAAGTAAATTAAAGAAAAAGTGTAATTGTGAATCAATCAGGCAGCATGCAAGAGACTTTGTGCAGGGAAGAAGGGAAAAGGGTAGGGAGGACCATTCACTTCTCATCCTCCCCTCTTCAGTGGTGGTTCCTGACTGCTTTGGGGCCGCCCTCCTGCTCATCCAGCCGAGCAGCATGACCTCAGCGTGGCCAGCTGTACTCATGGGGATCCGTGCTCAGCACTGCCAGGCACTGGGAGGGGTGTCCCAGGGGTGGCTGAGGGTGAGGCGGGAGAGGAGCAGGGTCAGGGTCATGGGCAATGCCCAGGACATGCCTCAGTTAACAGCCAGAGAAAGTCCATGCCTGAGAAAAACCTGAGCGGTGCTCCTTGAAATACGTTTTACTCTAAACATTGTCAAAACCACCTCCTGAGCTGGGATGGTTTGCTTCTGGAAGTAATGAAGACAACCAGCTTTAGCAGAGCTGACTAGGACGAGTGAAGCCCTTCCCACTGGATGGCCTGAGGGACAATGAAGGAGAAAGACAAAAAGGAGAAGGCTGAGAAAGGACAGAGCCCTGTGGGAGGAGAAGAGAAGGGATCAGGAAATCTGGTCCTAAACACCCTGCCCAGACTCTTCCCTCATCCCAGCCAAGGTGGGTGAGTGTCCCCGGCTTGCTCCAACACACCCAAGCCCAGCTGCAACTCAGCACCACCAGCCCCTGTCCAGCAGTGCTGGGGCTCAGGGCGTCTGGGGGAAAGAGGGAGTTGCAGTGGGGACACATGCAGCAAAGGACAGGGATAAGACTCAGCTTTCACTTACAAACTTTCAGTGCACAAACACACAGCAGCAAAATCAACAGTACCCTGACTCAGCACATCCAGCACCCACCTGCAGTCCTCAGCACAAAGGGGTGACCTCTGCGCTGATGGTGCCTGGGTACAAAGACCAAGGTCGGACTCTCACCCTCTGCCTCTTCCCAACCATGTCCTTCCCTTTCCCGGGCTCTCTGCAACCCTTGAGACAGGGTGTTGTGGTTTAACCCAGCAGGCAGCCAAACACCACACAGCTGTTTGCTCACTCCCCCCCCACAGTGGGATGGGGGACAGAATTGGGGGAAAAAAAAAAAGTAAAATTTGTGGGTTGAGATAAAGACAGTTTAATAGGACAGAAAAAGAAGGGAAAATAATAATAACCATCATGATAAAAGAATATACAAAATAAGTGATGTACAATGCAATTGCTCACCACCCACTGATCGATGCCCAGCCAGTTCCCGAGCAGTGGTCACTCCCACAGCTAACTCCCCCCAGTTTATATACTGAGCATGATGTCACATGGTATGGAATATCCCTTTGGCCAGTTTGGGTCAGCTGTCCTGGCTGTGGCCTCTCCCAGCTTGTCGCTGGCAGGGCATGAGAAGCTGAAAAGTCCTTAACTAGTGCAAATGCTACTTAGCAACAACTAAAACATCGGTGTGTTATTAACATTAACATTATTCTCATACTAAATCCAAAACACAGCACTGTACCAGCTACTAGGAAGAAAATTAACTCTATCCCAGGTGAAACCAGGACACAGGGCTCAGGCATTTCTCTATCCTTGCCCTCTTCTCCCCGCAGCACCTTCAGTGACTGCACAGTAGCCTGGGGTTGATAGCACCGATTCCTTTGAGGTCCCATCCACAGTTCGGCTTTCCCCAGGGACTGCAAAGAGGGAGCATTGCTTAATTGGCTCTCAAAGGAGACTGCAACTTCTGAACTGCTGGAAATTTAGTAAACTCTGGCAAGCCCTGCCTTTTCCCTTAACACTGACTCCTTCAAACTTTGTGTCAGGCCCCTCTAGAAAGCAGACTGAGGTAGGGCAATCATCAGGACTCTCCTAACTCATGACATAATCATAGAATCATTTAGGTTGGAACAGACCCTTAAGATCATCGAGTCCAACCGTTAACCTAACACTGCCAAGTCCACCACTAAACCATGTCCCTAAGCACCACATCTACACGTCTATTAAATACCTCCAGGATGGCAACTCAACCACTTTCCTGGGCACTTCCCTGTTCCAATGCCTGACAATCCTTTCGGTGAAGAAATTTTTCCTAATATCCAATCCAAACCGCCCCTGGTGCAACTTGAGGCCATTTCCTCTTGTCCTATCGCTTGTTACTTGGGAGAAGAGACCGACACCCACCTCGCTACAACCTCCTTTCAGGGAGTTGTAGAGAGCGATGAGGTCTCCCCTCAGCCTCCTTTTCTCCAGGCTAAACAACCCCAGCTCCCTCAGCCACACATTCACAGCCTTTCCCTCATCCACTAAGCAGGTAACCTTGTCATAGAAGGAGATCAGGTTAGTCAAGCAGGACCTACCTTTCATAAACCCATGCTGACTGGGCCTGATCACCTTTTTGTCTTGTACGTGCCACGTGATGGCACTCAGGATGATCTGCTCCATAACCTTCCCTGGCACTGAGGTCAGACTGACAGGCCCGTATTTCCCTGGATCCTCCTTCCGGGGAGTGCATTGGTGTAGATGCACTTCACTTGGGCTATTGATCCCGCCACATTTTTTGGGGAGAAGCCCTAATTCCTATGTGACTGTTCTCAGGCACTTCCATGGTTTCTAACACATCAATAACCCTTGTGTCTTTGCTGCCACACGAATCTCCATCCCCTACCTCCACTGAGATGGAAGACCGAAAGTCCTCACTAGTACACTTTCCCTCAAACACTGGCATGCCACCCCAAGGCCTATCTCTAGCAAGCCTGGTTTTATCCCTTTCCCCCTCCTGTGCAAAGATACTTTTCCCCCTTTGAGACAGGTGTACCCCATCTGTCACCAGCAGGCCTGGTGTTGTGTAGACTGACCCATGATCAAAAACCCCAAAATTCTGCCTGTGACACCAGGCTTGGAGCCAGGAATTGATCTGCTGGCTCTTCCTGTTTCTTCCCTCATCATTCCCTGCAACTGGAAGGATAGAGGAGAACACTGCTTGTGCTCCTGATCCTTTAACCAGTCGTCCCAGGGCTCTGAAGTCTCTCTTGATTGCCCTCAGACTTCTTGTTGCAACTTAATCGCTGCCTACCTGAAAAATCAATAATGGATTGTAATCTGAGGGCCATACCAGGGTAGGAAGTTTTCTCTTCACATCTTTAACCTGGGCCCCAGGGAGGCAGCAGACTTCCCTAAGAAGTGGGTCTGGTCTGCATATTGGGCCTTCTGTTCCCTTCCGAAGGGAGTCTCCTATGACAATGACCCGTCTTTTTTTCTTTATGGAAGCAGTTTTTATGCAGGAGGGGATAGGGAATCCTCCATATCATGCATCCTGTCTGCCTGTTGGGCCTGTCCCAGGGAAGGTAGGGTGCGATTCCACTAGTCTATCTCTCTCTCGCTCTCCCTGATACTCCTCAACCTACTCATCTCCTCCCAGAGCTCTGTCACTAAGCAGAGGAGTTCCTCTCCATGGGCGCACCTCCCACGGGTGTGCTCACTGCTGCCATCTGGTACTGGTGTAAGAGCAGGGCACACCCTGCAGCCTGACACCTGGGTGGCAGCGTGTTCCCACCGGAGCTCTGTCTGGGAAGCTGCGTCAGTCGTGGTGGGTTGAGAGCTTAGAGAGGCCATGGTTTTCTGCTGGGTGGATACCATTGCTCCCTGGTCAAGCTGGCAGAGCTCCCTTCCTGCGTGCCCTTTCGTGCAAACTGTTGTGCAAACTGCCGCACCATGCGCTTGCTGACGCACCACTCCCTGTTTGCCCACCCTGGTTGCTAGTGCTCCCTAAGAGCTTCTTTTATACGTGGGAGGTGGGGGCTTGGCCGTTGTTGCTCCTGGCCCTGCCCGAGTCTCATCAGCCAGGGGGGCACTCTCAGCTCCCCCCAAGGTTCCCGTGGTTTGGGAACCCCCCCCGTGCACCGCGCTAGAGCGCTCCACTGCAGATCGTGCCAGCACCTGAGCTGCTCGCCTCTGAGTTGGTGGCCTGTGAGACCCACAGAAAGGCTTGCGGGGAAAGTCACACACCCAGAGTTGATGGAGAGTCCCCTTGTCCCAAATAATCAAATTCCTTGTAGTCTCACTCTTAGAGGATCGTGCCAGCACCTGAGCTGCTCGCCTCTGAGTTGGTGGCCTGTGAGACCCACAGAAAGGCTTGCGGGGAAAGTCACACACCCAGAGTTGATGGAGAGTCCCCTTGTCCCAAATAATCAAATTCCTTGTAGTCTCACTCTTAGAGAAACACAGGCACTTCCACACAGAAACAGCCAGGACTCCCTGGGACCCGCCTGGTCCCCCAGCAGTGCACCCCAATTGCTCTCACCCTTAGAGTCACACAGGCCCTGACACACCCAGAGCTGGCAGAGACTTCCCTGCTCCACCATTGACTACCCCATGGTGATCTTGTTCTTGGAGACACAAAAGCACCCACAGACTGTGAGCTGGTGGGGATCCCCTCACCGTTAGAGACACACAGTTACTAGCTCACACAAACAGCCAGACATGGCTGGGACACCACTGCTCCTGCAGTGTCTTGAAGAAAGCCTCCACTATTTCTTCTTCCTGATCAAGCAGTCTGTATCACAGAGACATCACAACATCACCAATAATATAGGAACAACTTTTATCCAAGACAAGAAGTGACTGGTGCCATGTCCCCAACTTCTGGCAGATTTCCCACCCCTACTGGCAGTCACATTTCCCACTTTTTCCCAAAGTGTTGCCCTTGTTCTCAGCCATGTGATCTGTTTATCCACCTCTTTTTGCCCCTGGAGGCTGCCATTTTGTAAAATATCATACCCCATGTGTTCGCAGACTGTCCTGTGATTATCTGGCAGGACCAGCTGCCCCTTCCACTTTACAAACAGGAAGTACGCTGCAACATGAAGTTGCTACCCTGGCGGGGTGGGCCACATCTCTGCGCACTAAAAAAATATTTTATTGCTCTCTCACACACTGGTGCTCCCTTGCTCTTCTTTAGTGACACCCCTGCTCCGCAGAGAGTCTTTTCCCAGGTAAAAGTGAAGCCATGTTCTTCTGTGCAGGACCCCAAAAGTTGGCAATGCTGCTCAGCAGAGCGAATGGGGTTGCAGTCCAGCTCTGGCCCCCTGACCAGGTCCAGAGTTGCAGTTCTCTGGGGCCATGGGGTGACTCCACACTGGACATGATGGTCAGGGAGGGAAGTTGACCTAGCCAGATAGAGCCACAGGCTATTATCCCTCATTTTTAGGTGTCTGTGGCCATGAAAAGTGCTCTGAGGAATCATGAGACATTTCCAGTGGCATGAGAGGCAATCAGATGTGCTGCTAGATCCAGCCTAAGGTGTTTAATTGAAGATGGTATGAATCAGTCTCCATCCTCCATTCCCAGGGAATGCTGGGACTCTCTGCTTGTCACCCTGAGCTCATGGAGAACACAAGGAAAGCTGCAGGTCCTTTAGGTGCAATGCTTTGAAGTGTGTTCTTGCCAGCAGCATTGTAAGAAAAGCTGAGCTTTCAGGCACTACGCTGAAAACCTGTTGCTGCAGAGATGCTGTAATAGGGAGGCAAGAAGAGGCCAGGCTTTCTTTAGCAGAGAAGCACTCATTGCTAGGACATGCTTGTAGTTATGGGAATGCCCACGGAGGCACTGCAGTGCCAGCACCAGGTTACAAAAGCAGTTAGACCATATACAAGAAGAGGGGCACAACAGGACAGCGAGGAGGTGAAAAGAGATCATTTCTGAAGAGACCAAATTCTGGTAGTTTCAGTGGACACAGCTCCAGGAAAGCAGGAGTCCTGACTTCAGCAAGCAGATGCCTGCCGTGGCTGTGAAGGGAATGCAGTGGCTGGAACAGGGGCTGTCCCTACATGGTGTGGCTGGACCTAGAATAAGCCTAAAAGAGCAGCTGATGTAAGCACTGAGCTGGCCCAGATTTCATCTGCCAACTTAGTTGTTGCCCCCTGGAAAGACCCCAGCAGCAAAAGAGTAGGAATGCAGTAAAAACAGCATGGGAATAAAAACATGAAGTCAAAAGCAAGTGATATTGCCTGTTCCTACAGACACATACGTGGAATGGGGGTATCTGCTCCTTTAAGGGTATCTGGTCAAGGACATTTTCAATGCAAAAATGGATAATAAGAAAAGGAGGAAGCAACAAACAAGAACATACAGAGACACAAACCAGACCACAAACTATAAAGGAGGCAGTGATGAGAATGAACGTGGTCAGTCATGCTAACTGTTAAGGGTATGTGGGAATGTTACATTCAGCGAGATTATCTAATGAAGGATATTGTCCAATGTGATACTAAGGAAAATAAATTATACAGAGAAACAAACCTGACAGGTAAACGTAATGGGGACAAAGACACAAAAGAAACCTTGTCAGTCACACTAATTGATGGGCTATCAAGAAATTACAGGCGAACATGGAATTTGCAACCAATAAAGATTCAAACCTGAGGGTCCAGGATGTTGGAGGTGGTTAGTGGAACTGTGCAAACTGATGAGGGAATGTGCAGGGGAAGGGAACTGAGGAGGAACAAAGGAAGAATAGACAAAAATGGGTGTAAATAAGGCAGTTGCATGTAGAATGGAACAGATCAGTACACTTCTGTGACCAAGCCCTCTGCCTGATCACTGCGGTCTGTCCTATTTTCTTATTAGAACTGTTCTTAACTATCTGTCTGCATAATCTCACCCTCTGTCCTGTGTGTGAGTGCTGCAAGGACTATGTGCCACCTACTGGGGAAACCAGCATGAGTGGACTGGGTTGCCAGCTACTGGCATCAGACCAGGGGCATGGGTGCCCCTGGCCTGTGGTGTCAGTTACTGGTGTGAGTAGGGGCTACTGGCCACTGGGCCAGGAACAGTGTGTGTCCCAAAAAACAGTTACTGCAGGCAACTGGGGTGCGGGAGGAGAGTGAGGGATTCCATGTTGGCGGCTGGAGCAGGACCATGGATCACAGCCCATGTGCCTGGTGCTAGCTGTTGAGGGGCGAGTGTCTGTGTCTTCCCCAAAACGTGTGTGCGTGGGGTGTGCATGTGTATTCACCAGCAAACTTCAAGCTGGACCAGCCAGTGAGTAGAAGGACCTGGGTCCTTGCAGGAGTATCAGGTGGGCAGAGGGCTCATGCTGGTACCCAGGAGCACCTGTGAGTGTGGAGTGCCTCTGGGATGAGTGTGTGAGTGTTGCATGCTTGCAGCAAGCATCAAGCTAGACCAGTCAGCGAGTAGGGAACCCATGGGGCAGGTGAGAGGGCCAGGGCAGGGGCACCGGACAGCAGACAGGCCGTGCTGATGCTCAGGGGACCTGTGTATGTCCTTGTGAACTTGGAGAATGTTGTGTGTGCGCCTGCCCTAGTCTCTGCCAGCCCCAGAGGAGGAGGGGACATGTGCTTGTGTGTTGTGTGGGTCCAGTATGTAGGTGCTGCTGAAGGCAGAGTTGTGTCTGTGGCAGTCTGTGTGACTGGCCGTGTCAGTGTCCTTTGGGACACGTGCTCAGCTTTGCTACTGGTTGAACATGCAGATGGGAGCGCGGCAGCCATGACCCTCAGCCTGGACAGAGACCCCAGGTGCCCAGGGCACAAGATGGGGCTCCAGCAGCCAGACAGGAGGAGGTCTTGGGTCCAAAGCTGTGGCAGGTGACAGCCACTCTTAACATCCCTTAACATACAGGACAGGTTGCTTTTTCATAGCTCCATATTTTAAATTGCATTTATTTGAAAAGTACAGCTTAGAGGTAGTTACACTGATTGTGAAACTTGAATTTTCCCTAACATTCTGCCCAAAGCTGTTTTCACATCATTATTTTTCAGGCTGTAGATGATGGGATTTAGCATGGGGGTTAAAATGCTGTATTGGATGGAAAACAGTTGATCTAGAATGAATGATGAGACTGAACTGGGTTTTGTGTACTGGAACAAAGCAGTTGTGTATAACAAAACCACTATGATGAGGTGGGAGCTGCAAGTGGAGAAAGCTTTCTGTCTCCCCGTTGCAGACTGTATCTTCAGGACAGTAGAGATGATATAGATATAGGAGATGAGAGTGAGCAGAAAGGAGCTTGACCCAGAGATCACAGCAGAAGACAGAAGAACAAGTTTATTGAGGAAGGTCCTGCCGCAGGCTGCGGTTAAGAGAGGGGGCAACTCACAGCTGAAATGCTTAATTTCTGTGTGCTTGCAGAATTGCACATTTAGCATCGGCAGTGTGTTTATAATGGAGTGTAAGACCCCCATTGCCCATGCACCCCCCACCAGCTGGCTACAGACAGATTTGTTCATAACCTCTTGGTATTGTAGTGGTTTACAGATGGCAATGTATCGGTCATATGCCATTACTGAGAGCATGAAAATTTCACTACCAGCTGAGAGAAGGATTAAGGACATCTGGATAATACAGGCACTGAAGTCAATGGTTCTCTGCTTCAGTAGGAACTTCACCAGCATATAAGGAATAATGGTGGTAGCATAACAGATGTCTGTGAGGGCTAAGTGAAAAAGGAAGAAGTACATAGGGGAGTGAAGGTGCGGATCAGTACTTATCACAATCATGATCACCATATTTCCAAACAGAGTGATTAAATAAATAACTGAAAAAACAAAGAAGAGGAGGCTTTGAAGGTGTGGGTCACTTGTAAGTCCCAAGAGAACAAACTCACTTGCACTTGTTTGGTTTTCCATTCACAGTATGTTACCTGTAAGAGGAGGAAAAAAAACATCATGTCAGCAAGTGGAATCAGGACATACTAAAGTGGCACTAGCTGACTCCCAGGTAACAGAGACAGGCAAACAAACAACCAGTATTCAATGTCAGGAGCAGGTGGTGGGGTGAAGTCAATTTCAGTTCTAGCTGAGAAGCAGGGTTTCCAACAAAGGTATGGAGGCAGGGTTGGATGTGAGCTGTCCTCCCCGCTGAGCCCAACAGGCATTTCCTCCTCCTCCTTCATGTCCTCTTACAAATGCCTTTCAAACTCCACACAAGGGGGAGGTCTGGGAAAGAAGAAGTCTTTACAATCCTCTGACTTGTCTAAGATACGTTGTCTTCCTGACAAACAGGCTTAAATCCCAGAAGTGCCCACCACCAAACATGGGAGGATGACAGCAATTCTGGCTGGACCAGTCTGTTCCTCCACACTCATGACCTTAATGCTGAACTAGACACTCAGTGCAAGGTTGCCCCAGTTTTTAGGAAATCTATTCTATGTGTTTCTTGTTTGACTCAGGGCCGAAATCTGATATATCCAAAGGCGGGGCTGCAGAATACCCCCACAGGCTCAGTGTTCCACACGTATAGATGTGGACATGTTTAAGGTCTCCACTCCAAGCCAGGGGTAAGTGGAATTTTTGGGAATTACACATTCTGATGTTTACCGCCAGGAGGTTGACCACATAACAGATAATTGTATTTTAAATCAGAGAACTTCCAAGGAATATTTCCTATACACATACACTTGTATTTTGCTAAACAAAGTTTCCTATTACACTCTCCAATACATCAGTGGGGATTAAGCAGGAAAATCAGTAGTCCAAAATATAATATTTTTCTCATTGTTATGTTGTTAGTCACATAACAGAGGAGACATGTCACAAGACGCACAAACACACAATGCATCTCAACTATATAGGTGTTTCCAACTCAGAAAGCAATCTAGAAAGCTATCTTGGCCAAGGATTGAGATGGGCCATATTCACCTTCCCTTTGGTAGTTTGTAGAGTTCAAACTCAAGTTCTTAGAACCAAATATCTCCATCCAGTTTGCACCTTCAGCATCTCAAGAAGCAGATCTACACCATGAGCCAGTTCCCACATCTTCCACCCCCATCCTTTGCTTTGGTTTGCCTCTCTAAAGAGCCAGCTGGTTCAGGCAGAATCAAGCCGTGTTTTTTGGCACTCAGGGAGATTAGATGCGAGTGTGAGTTTGATCCCAGAGCTATCATGACACTATGAGACGCTCAAAGACCTTCACAGTGTCACATGATGTCCTACAACAGAGCAATGAATTTTTTTAGTTTAAATCATTACCAACATCTTGGTTTCTTTTATTTAGGCACTTGAGTCTGGAAATGGGAAACTCATTACTTCTCAGAAAATTTTTGTTATCAACAAGTTCTTAGGTGACAACCAGTGGGATATTGTCTCCCTGTTTGATTTATCTAAAAGCTATTCAGAAAAATCAAAGCTAGTTGCTTAGATCCTCCTGTTTCTTCATCAGAAGAAAAAAGTAAAGGAATCTCTAGGAGATGATTGTCCTGGTTTCAGCAGGGATAGAGTTAATTTCCTTCCTAGTAGCTGGTACAGTGCTTTGTTTTGGATTTAGGGTGAGAACAATGTTGATAACACACCAATGTTTTAGTTGTTGCTAGGTAGTGTTTACACTAGTCAAGGACTTTTCAGCTTCCCATGCTCTACTGACTGAGCAGGCTGGAGGTGCACAAGAAGCTGGGAGGGGGCACAGCCAGGACAGCTGACCGAAACTGGCCAAAGGGATATTCCATACCATGTGACGTCATGCTCAGTATATAAAGCTGGGGGAAGAAGAAGGAAGGGGGGGACGTTTGGAGTGATGGTGTTTGTCTTCCCAAGTAACCGTTATGCGTGATGGAGCCCTGCTTTCCTGGAGATGGCTGAACACCTGCCTGCCCATGGGAAGTAGTGAATGAATTCCTTGTTTTGCTTTGCTTGCGTGTGTGGCTTTTGCTTTACCTATTAAACTGCCTTTATCTCAACCCATGAGTTTTCTCACTTTTACCCTTCCGATTCTCTCCCCCATCCCACCGGGGGGGAGTGAGCGAGCGGCTGCGTGGTGCTTAGTTGCCGGCTGAGGTTAAACCACGACAATGATACTTAAGATATGAGAAATAAATACACTTTTTAATAACATTTTTCTCCTCTCCATTTACAGAAGAGAGACTCCCTGACATTTAAAAGAAAGTGACATTAAAAAAATTCCACAATGGAGAAGATTTTATGAACACTTCTAAAAACTGTATGATGCATTTAAATGAATACAAACTAGTTTTTGTGGAGGGAAAAAAATCCAGCAGTTATTCAAGAACTCAATTTATTTTTTTGTAAATGACAAATTAAAACTATATTTTGCTCAATTATTCTAGTTTTGAAAGCTAAAATGGAAAAATAGATAAGAAGATAGGCTGAGAGAGAGTTGAGTCATTAGAGTGCAATTTGATATTAAAGGTGGAATGTCTTTTACCCTTTTAGGCTTCTACAGCATTGATGACACTAGTCATTGCAGACTGCCATTTTAGACCCATTGGGAGAAATTTTGTAGCGTTATTCGCTAGTCTTATAGTGAATTTAACAGTGTTATTCTTACATTTTTATTATCTTCACATTTATATAGGAATTTAACAAAAATCATATTACTATGAAAGTTTCTATCTTTCGCTGTGAATTTTAAAAGAGCCCAGAGCTTAGTTGTAGCAGATAGCAGACAAGATAATTAGTGGAGACTAGCACCTTTAATTACAAATTCATTCTGCTTATCTCTGACACATATTCTGAGTCACTCCTGAAATGGTCAAGTTGTTTTCTTTGGCTATACAAAAAGCCTAGATGATGAACATGGACATGAACACTAACTCATGGTACTTGAAAAAAAAACCCATACATTCACTGAATTACTTGGTTTGGGATTTATGTACTCACCAAAGAAAAAATGTTGCTTCTTTTCTTAAGATGTCATTACCTGTTTGCAATCCTTGTATCCTCTCCCTGGGAAAAGGTACTAAAATGTATTGAATGAGTTCATTAGTAGAAAATACTGTAATGAAATAATAATAAACTAATGCCCATGCGTGTATACTCTCAAACCCATAGAAAAGATCAAAATAACAGTGAACTGACCTATATCTAACATGAAAATGAGGAACAAGTTAAAACTGAGTGGATAGATAGACAGATACATTGACAGATACACAGATAACTAGGGAGACTGATTCATGGTATACAAGTTAAAACGATATGGTTCTTTCCTCTTGACTACCCCTTGTATTAACAGAACTGTTAGACAGAAAATACGTCAATGTTTCAAAAAATACAACATAAAGCTTTCTTGAAGTTCTTTCTCTCATCTCTGATCTACATCTCTTGTCTTTTTCGTCCTCGCTCTCAATCTCTGCATCTTTAAGTCAAACATTGTATTTAAAAAACATGCAATACAGTTCACCCCAGGAAAAGAGACACTTCTCTGTGTTCGTCCTGGTCATGTACTGGGGAAGTCTATTAAAGACCTCTTCCTTTGCAGCTCATCTCTTTTCATATTCCTAACTCTAAATTCTTAGCCTTAGTTTTGAAGCCTAAATATTTCCTGGCTGCCTCTGGGACGATTATCTCTTGTGTATGAAACTCTGAATATTTTGAGCCAGGAGCTAACAAGCTTATTCCATGACAGAAGAAAAAAATAATAATAGGCTATTAGCTAGTTTCTTATATTCCCAGTGTTGCGCCTTATAATTCCTTTCATTAGCCATTCTGTTTTGAAGACTGCTGTGTACCTCTGGCCTCCGTGACACTAGAGAAATGGGTTTAGTGATACCGGAAATGCAAACTGACTACTAAGTAATGCTGAGACCAAGTAAAATAAATCATCATATCTTGGATATTCGGGTTGAAATGAAGAGATCAATTAAAGGCAGTGATCATTAATATTACAAGCATCTCTCCCTCCCAAAATCATCTGAGATAAACTTCACATTGTGGATTCTTTTATTGCTTATCTCTTGTCTAAATGATGGACTTTATTCTCCTAATCTTTGGTGCCTACAATGCAAATAACAGCTGAGATAGATAGCTACTTAATGTACCTGTATCTTAATGTCCCTATATAGTTCATATAGAAATATGGTGTCCATAGCCTGGATGTCTAAATAGGAGCACATGCATCCCATCTGAAAGAACTACCATACCCCAGCAGTAGAAAGAGGTGACATAGCTTCCCTTTTTTTCTAGACATCCTCTCTTTGCTTTTTATTAAAAGACTTTTTGCCTGAGCTTGACTTTCTGTAATTGTGTGTATATTGCCTAGTGTGCCAAAGAAAGCAGCTATTAGTGATTTATCCCCTTTCAGCATCTTTGCAACTGTGGTGTGGCAATCATCCATGGGTTTACCACAGTTTTACAAAAACATAACTGAGACGACATGGTTGTGGTGGAGTGACATTCAGGACAAGTGGCTGATGTTGTTCAGTAGTCTTCATCTCCTATTAAGCATGCTGCAAGGGTGGATATCCTATGTATCAGAAAAAGAAAGCTTGCATCATGGGAATCCTAGCTAGAAGAAGAAACTTGGTGCATGAGCACCTGTTCAACCATGGTTTTCTCTGAAATTTTCATTTGCATGTAGGTCCTATGATACTACTACTATGTGACCAAATAAATCAAGAAGATTCTCCATCATCATATATTTATCTTTTATCTTTATTGTCAGCTTTAACCTGTTTCAAAAAGCTTTCCTTCATCTAGTTAAGATTTAACTAAACAGAAAGAAAAATCTTAATTCCTAAATTAGAAGAATTAGAATTTCTAAATTAGAAGAATTCTTGAATATTACTTCATTGGATTTTGAATAATAAAATATCCAAATATGTAGGTGGATAGACAGAAGAGGGAAATGGGAGATGATTTTTTTCCTTTAGTGCATTTAAAGTCTCTCTTACCCAACA